AGACCCCAGCCACAGCATCCGTACGTTCCAGAGTCTCCATGGCTCCTCAACCTGCGCCTACGAGCGGTCGTCGTCAGCTTCGTATAGCCGCCCGGCCGCAATCCCAGGTCTCGCCCGTCTCCTACGACTCGGATCGGTACAACACCCCGCCCGCTCCGAACAGCGGTGCCCGGAACCGGTTGCAGAAGAAGACGCAACGCATGTCTGCTCTTCCTTCCACCTCGCCAGCGGGATCCAGTCCCCTGGCGCCCATCTCTTCGCACAACTACCAGGATCACGGCAGCGACTTCACGCCGCCTCGCATGTCACGCGCGAGCACGTGGGACTACCCCAGTGAGAACCACGCTCCTCAATACGGCAGCTCCCCCGGCGGCATGCGCGGCGGCCCCCCGATCCCGGCGAAGATCCCTCTGCCCATCATGAGCGGAGCCAACAACGCTAGCGAGAGCGAGTGGGCTCTCATGCAGGAGATGAGCCGCATTGACATTGGTGCTGGCCGCTCCAGACGTCATCGTTACTAGTTCAGCATATCACAGCCTTCAGCATTGGTAGCGACGGATTCATGAGTTCACGTGTCAATTTTCTCACGACGGACTTGTTATTGTAATTGTACTATATAATGGTTGCGGGGTTTTGTGTTTCTGGATCGGGATTTCTTTTGGTGGAATGAATTGGGAAAACATGGCTTGGGTTACGGGAGATGATGGGCGGCGGAACTTGTATGGTAATGCTGCAGACAGCCAGAATTCCATCTTTTCACATTCATCTTTTGGCTACATGTGACTCTTCGATTCGGTTCCGGCGTTTGTTGACCATAAATAGTTTGATCCTGTAGGGCTGACTCGTTCCTCATCGCCTCCTTTTACGCCGTCAAAGCGATGGTCGTTCAAAATGCCAAGCCCCACAGGTCAACTACGTTCTCCCTGGCCTCAGAGACGGTCGCTCCGTGCGGGCTGTATGTATGCATTGATCGAGTCAATCCCGTCATTTACGAACGAAGATTCTGAGAACATTTCATAAGGAGAGAAAACCTTTTTTTCAATCATGTCTTATATGCCACTGGACAGTACACGGTACACCCCGCAAACGTTTGAGCTATACGATGAACATGAGTTCGGATGTAACCTTATTCTCCCTCCCCACTTACACAGAAATCAATCTTAATTGAGAGTCGGTTATTCCGACGTCAGCCTCTGTATAGAATGAGATAGTTTGGGTCTTTCGTGTCCTATGAATCCGTAATAAAAAGATGGCGAGCTTGTGTTCACATAATTATGCCTGAGTTGCCCCTGCTTTGTGACTACTCTGGTTACTGATCCTGCTGTGATAAAGTGCTGCTCTTTTCACGATGTCCAGCGTAATGTTTGTTTCTAGGCTGCGTAGCCTGTCTTTACTGCTCCTCCTCCTCCTCCTCCTCTAGGCTGTCTGCTTTATTGCGTCTCCCACGCTCCCGCCCGCGCTCGCCAAGTGCGTGGGTGCGTTCCCCGACTTCCCTGCTGACTATGACGGCTGCGTTAAGAAGGGGGAGTACCTCTGGACCCTGATGCTGGTGGATAACGCGGGGGCTGCGGCGGTGAATGGTGGCGTGTTGGTGGTGAGCCTGTACTAGGACCCTGCGGGCATGGTGTAGTGGGGATGGAGTTTGGATACGTGGTGGTACCCTTACGATGGCGGGCTGAAGTTGAGTAATCTGAAGTTTCTCAGTGAGGTGATGAGTGACATGATGTTTCCTGTGGATGAGAAGAACGGGGTGGTGCAGCCGAAGAGTCTGGCGGATAAGCCCGGCCCGGCGGAGGGGTTTGAGTTTGACGCGGATCGGGGGTCGAGTGTGTTGAATATTCGGTTTACGATTAAGGATGCGTAGGCGGGTGGTTTGCTAAAGCGTTCAGCGGGTTCTTTGCGATAATCATTATAGATACAGAGCTATGCGCCAGCTCTCGTCTGGTGTTTGCTGTACAATGGGTCTTCATCCGCCTGGTGGTCAGTTCTGGCCCGCGAGAGGATCTCGGTTTGATGAGAGCGCTTGAGGTATTGGGACATTCCTTTCTTGTCTGTAACCCGTTTTGATGGCTGTTCTTGTGCCTCTTCCCATCTATGATGAGGCACGTCAGGAAGTTGGGATGTCAACAAGTTGGGATGTCAACAAGTTGGGATGTCAACAAATTGGGACTGATGGATTTGGATAACTGATACCGCAGGTGGGAGACTCGTCTCGTGGTAGAAGTCCAATTATCTGGAGCGGAAATGGCCAAAACATTATTCAGACTGTGACTGCTGCTGTTGCGCGAGGAAGCAGAGCCTCAACACAAACGCGCGACGCCTGTATATTGACGTGGTAGCAAAGAAGATGACTTCCAACCTCCACATAACAGGTTCAACGCCCAAAGAAGCAAATATTCTTCCGTTTGTAGCCTAAGATGAATACGATGACCGAGACCGAATCTCTTCGCCCAAAGGAGCAGATATCAGCACTCATAAACGCAGGCAGTGCGCCGCTTTGATTTCTTCTCCTCAAGGCTCGTGAAACCTCATGTGAGGCAAGCGGACAAAGTATTGCGGGTCAACAGGAGAATCGGCGTGAGTCACAATAGGAGAACACGGAAAAGTCGGCGACTGGCTGAGAGAAGAATACGAATGTATTGTAACGACGTTTCAGAGCCTCCTATCCTGTGTTTAATAACTTGACAGTGATATTTCGGAGCCTGCAGTTTGTGATTCTGCGCCAGCTTTCACGAGTTGTCATCTGATCCCTACGAGCTGCAGTCGAGTACAACTCCTTTCGGACCTTGATCTTCTGGTACATTCCCGCCATTCATCAACTGTTGGACCAAAAACAACCAGCCACACTATGCGATCCTCCAATGTTCTCGTCGTCATCGGCAGCGGCGGCATGGGCATTCCCGTCGCGCGTCGCCTCGGCGTCGGCAAACGGATTCTCCTCGCGGACTTCTTGACCGACAACCTCACCATTGCGCAGAAAACCTTGACCAACGAGGGATACTCCACACAAACCGCTCTTCTGGACGTCGCAAACTACGCGTCTGTTACGGAACTTGCGCAGGAAGCAGCCAAGATGGGTTTCGTAGAAACTATCGTCCACACCGCGGGGGTCGGCCCCTCCGCAGGCTCTGCTCGTCGAGTATACGAGATCGATCTCCTGGGCACAGTCAACGTCATCGACGCGTTCCTGCCCGTCGTGCAGGCCGGCTCGAACCTGGTATGCATCTCGAGCATGGCAGGACACCTATGCCCGCCTCTGAGCGCCGAATTGGAGCACCATCTCGCCACGGCATCCCGGGAAGACGTCTTGGACCATCCGGATCTGAAAATCGATTATTCCAGCAGTCGGGGCGCTGCAACGGCGTATGGCATCGCCAAACGGGCGAATCTGGTTCGCGTACAGGCGTCTGCTTCTGCGTGGGGCCGCAAAGGTGCTATGATCAATTCCGTGAGTCCGGGCGTGGTTTCCACGGAAGCCGGTCGCAAGGAGATCGAGGGACCGGCGGGAAAGTTTGTGGAGTCGTCTCCGGCGGGAAGAGCGGGCACCCCTGAAGACATCGTTAATGCCGTTGCGTTCTTGGTCAATGCCGCGTCTTGCTTCATTACTGGGACTGATATTTTGGTAGGCGGCGGCGTCACGGCGTCGGTGAGATGGAAAGAGGTGTAGTGACCGCCAATCGAGGAGTGGAATTCTTCGCGACGATGCTCAGATCAACGGGGACGGCGTGCTATATAGCAGCCGCAGCACGCTTGAAATGAAAGCGATGCTTAATACCTGCACAAACTATTACAGAAACATCATATTGAATCGTGAATGACGTATCAGAACGAGGTCTTGTCATGCGGAGCATGTAAATCATCACTTTGATGATAAGGTCGTCTGAGCGATAGAGGTTACTTGTGGCGCGAGCTTGACCTAACGCCGCCGGTCAGAGCTACGAGAAGCAATGAGAAGCGACTCAGAAGTGGCTGTGGCAGCATATATGTTACCGCCGTTGGAATCAACGGTAACCTGCACAGATCCCAAGATAAAAAGACGATTTAAAGTCTCGTCACCCCTATCCGTTCAGAAGCATCTAAACCATTCTTATTTTTTACTTGCAAGGGGTCAAATTGTGAATTCACACCTGTTTCCCAGCTTATGCTCTGTCGACTCTCTTCTCTCTTGTAAACTTAACACTGATTGATCCCTTTCCTCGATAGACAGGCCAGAGCCCACAGACGTTGTCATTTTTGCCCAAAGAGGTTAAAAATGTACGCAGACCTCATGAAACCTTCCTTTCTGAAAGACGGGGTCTCCCGCAACCGAGAGGTCTTGGAAGTAAATCTAGAATGAAAGTGATGCTCCTCTTGCACTGCTCGAAACGATGATTGCTAGCACTGAGAGTTGGGAAAAGCTTTTGTCGATCTAGCCTGGCAGACTGTCGTTTATTACAGAATCATACTGCCGTCACAACCAAACATGAACTTGGCACTATTGATTATCTCGGTGCGCAATTGTGGCACAGCAGCCTCTTGGAGTCGCACAAACAAACACAGGCAGTCGCATCCCATGCACGCAACGGACACAGCCTTATATTGATGTCCAAATCTGGCAAGCTTGTCAGCAGTGAACCAGCATAGTGGTACTGTAGCCGATGAGTGGATATCGTCAAAGGTCATGATAGGGCCAGACACGGCAAGAGCGGTGTTTTGAGGTCGCAGTGAGGGCCAAATCATGCATGTGGCTTAATGAGGAATGAGTTGCGGCGCCCAATCCGAGTATGCACTGGGCGAGAGGTCTTGGCGAAAACGACAGCCTGATGCTCGAAGAATTACGGCATATGTCCCGCTTTCCAACTCTGACACGTCAACTGTCTGCTCCCTCTCGAGATTTCTCCTGTTGTCTAGCCGTTCATTCTCGCCAGAGAGAAAGCTCTATACAGATACCAATCTCCATCAAAGCAAGCGACCCTTCACTTTTGCACGCTTCTCTCAGATCCCCCGATTGCCCAGACAAGATGTCTGCTAGCAGGAAGCTGCTACTCTTCTTCATCTTGTTGTTTGCAAGAGCCGTGTCGGCAGATGGTGGAGATGACTTTGCCAACAATCTCTTTTCGGATCTGGAACCGTAAGTCTGCCGAATTCGTTCTTTTGGGTGGTCTAATCTAAAAAGTTGCCTTTGCTCAGACTGCTGGCGCTCTTTGGAGAACGAGTGACTATGCAATTCATGAGTGGCTCTATGGGTTGGGCCGATAACATCATTCTTGCGATGGCTCCTCTTGGTATTATTACTGCTATTGTAGGAGCAATTCGAGTTGGTGCCCCGTCTTGGCTTAAGGCGGTGATTGGCAGAGCTCGTGAGAATCTCGCCGTAGCTGAAGCTGAACTCATGTCGTCAACCTCGCAAGAAGTCTGCGAGCTGTGGAATGGACAAGAGGTTGTGAGGTGTATGGGATCGCCTTCGGTCACCGAGTTCATCTGTTTGTTGCCGGCCACCGAGAAGGACAGTCAGAGAAATCCTGAAATAAAGGTGGACAAAGATTTAAGCGCATTGGACGATCATGACAAAGATCTTGAACGTGTCGGTAAGAAATCTTTCTTCGCTACATGGCAGGGCTCTTACTTTCCTCTCAGACTTGAACATAAACGCCGATATTGATCGATGGCGAGCTTCACGAAGCCACCCCAGCGACAAAGACTCAGAAGACACTACAACGCAATGGTCCGACAACACAATCATAATCAAACGGAATGTGTCTCTAGACGCCCCGAATATTTCACTGAATACGCATCGTCAATCGTCGCGAAGCGAGTTACGCGTTGTTGCAGCTTTTGGAACGATCCTTCAACTTAGTGTCCTTGTATATTCTGGATTCGCTACCTATCATCCGACCTTGAAGTTCCCGAAAGACGATAGTCCAATTGCTGGCTACGCGTACCCTTGTGCTGCGGCCGGAACATTCATTCTAGTAGTTGGGATGATGTTATGCGGCCACGTTGTGGAAAGTAGCACGGCGGAGAAACGATTTCAGGCGAAACCAGGGACGAACAAAAGGGTTCGAATGGTTTGGCTACAACAAACAAAGACCGTCAGCGACCAGGTTTTTGGATCCTTCGCGATATATGCAAAGGATGATCAAACGTTCATCACGACATCGAGGCGATCCCAACAGGATGAGCTGGAACATTCCCAGTCCGCGACAGACAAGGTAGAGCGTTCGACCTCAGACGACTTAGATCAGACCTCTATATCTCGGTCAAGCCTGCCAACGACGGATGGTAAAAGTGCTTCCATAAATATCCAGTTCAAGGCTGTCCTTGGAACTATGACCACACTTACGGGGTTTGTCTTACAATTCGTCGGTTTACGAGGACTACATTGGTTAGCCTCGATTGCTCAACTTGGTGCCGTCTTCCTGATGGTCTGTCTGAAGGCATGGGTTCGTCGTGGACTAGCAACACCTCCTAAAGCCATGTCTTTGCCACCCGGATACGAGCTTGACTGGTTTGCAAAGACATTAGGAAATGTTGATCAAGCGCCTTGGAACGACGATGCAAAACCTGGCACCGGACTTGTTCGGAAACTGAATCAACTTTCCAGAACCGTTAACAGGAAGTCTGATGGGCTTGAAATTACACAAATTAGTACGAATAGTGCCATAAAGACTTTGGAGGGGGGGTTCGACAGTTCATGGAGAATCGCGAATACTGGGGGTGCACATTTGGGGCGCCAGCAACGGAGCAAGAGCCAAGTCGATACACACAGAGAGGAGCACAGTCAAGATAATTCCGACGCCACCGTACCAATGGTTTCGAATGCCCAGACAGTGCTGAACATTCGGAAAGATCTTGGTCATTTGGCCAAATGGAGCGGACCGGCTTCTGCGGAGGCTGTATCTCTCGCCAGGGCAATCGAGATTACGATGAACACCTTGATTGGCTCTAAGCCTATTGAATCTGATTCTATCGATTCAGCTTCTGCCGGTCCAGCTTCTGTAAACGTTCCGCCTAATTATTTCATGGACGTTCCTCCTATCATCACGTCTCCCCATGACCATTCGCCTATTGGTCTTGATTCTCCTCTTACCTTCTATTGGTCTCTTGACGCTTGTTATGGTGGTTTCAACCACCACCCAGTCAACTTCCAACTACAGCGACAGGCCGATGGGAAATGGAAAGCGTTTGCAAATGAATACGAGGCAGTGTTGTCACTATGGCTATCCTCTGTCAATGATGAAAAGCAAAAAACAGCGAAGCTACCCAAAATTGGGGAGCGACCGGGGGACAAAATGAACAGGGAAGACGACGCTCGGTTACGCATGGAGGATTCGAACGGAGAGCTAGGCCTTCGCCTCTTGGGGCCATATACTGCAGCCCTCCATCAAGACCTCCGGTGGTGGGTGCCGAAGGACTTGCTTCGCATCTTTGAAGTTCAAGAACACGAACGATCTCAAGAGCCTCAAGAACACCGATTTCATCAAAATGATAATGAAGAACATCTTTTCGAAATAGAAACCCGCAGAGTCATTGGCTATGGTCAGCAGAAAGTGTGCATGCAAGACGCGAAGGATGAAATCAAGAAGAATCAAAACTCATTTCAATTCAGTCGGAAAGATTTGCCTGAGGACACCACAGACGAAGATGATGACGAAGTTGCCGAGGATGATATTACAAATACCGTTCTTGCGACAGAGTCACACTCCTCCATGCCGATGATTTTTTCCCAGCACATCTTTTCAGCATTCATGTATGCTGTAGCAGGCATGAGCAAGGAAACGGAACTCTTCCAAGATCCTGCCGACGTACAACCCAACACTAGTGGCAACAGCACTTGGAAATCTTTCACGCTCCAGAACACAACTCTATCTGCAATGGTTCGGGAGATTGAGAGCTCTGGCCTTGGAAGCCTTGCAGATATGTACATTAGCGTCATATCGCCGCTGAGCGAAAAGAACAAACTTCCACCGTCTGACGACGTCATTATTGAAATGGCAAGAGATCAAGCCAAACAGCATGAGCAGCTACAACATTGGGAGGAGGCTACTAAGATATACATGTGGCTTTTCCGAACAGCAAATACCTTCAAAGGACGAGGCATGTTCACCAAGGCCACTGCCGTTTTGATGGAGTATCTGAGACAAGTTTCCTCCACTATCAATCTGTCCGAAGGAGAAGACCCTGTGATCCTCACGCCTCTGGAGAAGGCGAAAAAGAGTATTGAGAAAGAGCTGAACAGGTCTGCTGACCATCAAACTCTATCGAATCTCATGGACTTGTATGCAAAACAGGGCCCTGATTGGAAATGCGCTGAAATTTGCCGACGCATAATTCAAGCAAGCTCCAAGGTGGGCAATAAACATCTAAAATACTTTAACTTCACGGCTCTGCACCAGCAAGTCCTCAGTCAAGACTATGTAAACGTTTATAGCACTCAGCGTTTGGATCTGATCGCCAAAGACATTCACCATTGGACACCTCTTCATTATGCTGCCAGAATACGCTCCTGGTATGTGGTTGAAAGTTTGCTTGATAGGGGAGCTGATGTCGACTCCATCGACCTGAATGGATATACACCATTGCATTACGCCTGTCAATTCAGCATGGAAATGGATAGAGATGCTGATGACAGGGAATTGACAATTGATAACCTCATCCGTGAAGGCGCCGACGTCAACTTTCAGGGCAGAGATGGAAAGACGTCACTACACTATGCATCGATGGAGGGAAACGAGGGCATAATGAGCGCGTTAATTGAGGCCGGAGTGAGGGTAGACATCCCAGACGCCTCAGGAAACACACCACTACTCTGGGCAGCACGCAAGGGGGGGATTAGTAGCACCCAGAATCTGTGGGAGGTTGCAAACAAAAGGCTACGAGATAATGACGGAAGAACAGCCTTACACCTGGCAGCCTTATCTGGATCAGCCGATACAGCTGAGTGGCTTATCACCAAAGCAGAGGCTGACAAAGAGGCTAGGGATCGCTGGAAGTTCCGACCTCTACACTGGGCGGCGTTAAACGGTCATGAAGAGGTTGTGGATCTGCTCATCAATGAGGGTGCAGCAAAGGATGTCAAAACCTCATCCGGATTTACACCACTACACTGTGCGGCTAGAAATGGGTATACCCACGTCATGGCGCTGCTTCTTAAGCATGGCCTAGGAATCAACGACAAATGCGAGGAAGGTAGCACAGCCCTGCATAGCGCAGCTGAAGGCGGACATGAGGAAGCTGTAGCGCTTCTTATCCAGCAGGGTGCAGACAAGGATGCGCAACTTACAGACGAATATGCCATTGGCATCACACCACTACACCTAGCAGCTGAGGAAGGACATGAGAAAGTTGTAGCACTACTTATTCAGCATGGTGCAAACCCAGATGTTAAAGATAGCAACGGGGCAACACCACTACACAAAGCCAGTAAGGGAGGACATGAGGACATCGTGAAACTACTCATTGGGGTAGGGGTTGATATTGAGGCCCAATGCACGTCTGATGCTTATGATGCATTTAGAGGATTAGGAACATTTTACCCCCTTCACCTTGCTGCAGGTTATGGGCATGCGAACATCGTGAGGATTCTCATAGATGCAGGGGCTAAGACGGACGTTTTGGACAAAGAGGAACCAAGTCGCCTGGCTGTGGCTGTCATAGGTGGTCACGCCGAAACTGCAAAGCAACTCATTGAGAACGGGTCCGATGTCCATGAACAGAGGAACCAGAGGATACATGGCTCGACGTGGATTGGCAGCAGAACACTACTACACTTGGCTGTTAAAAACGGGGATGTGGAAACTGTGGAGCTACTCATTGAAAATCGAGTGGACAAGCAAGTTAAGGATACCTTTGGCGAAATAGCGCGACAAATAGCCTCTCGGCAAAAGCAGAGAGCAGTTAGAAAGAGAGGGCTTGAAATATGGATAGGACTCACGAAGATTAGGCGCAGTGTCAAGGACTTCGACCAAATTATTTCACTTTTAGAATAGCAGAATAGAACATGTAAGGTCATCAGACAAATCCAATTTGACAGAAGCCATCTCAACTGGCAAGTTGTCAGAAGGTAAACAACCTGGTCTTGAGGTAAAATACGGCTGGGCCACAGTGATTGGGATTTAAATAGTTATTAATGCTTTATATTGCTAATTGAGCATTCTCTCGTTGCCTCATGTTCATTATCAATCCGGAAGAGACCGTCGACGTCTCACTAGTACTAAAATAGAAGGTATAGATGTCATAGGGCGACATGATCATAATGCTGGGGCGCCCGAGGCACAAACCCAAACACGATGTATCATGGCTATCACAGCACATAAAATTCTCACTAACCCCTAAGCCTCTTCATCTAGAGCTATGCTATCTGGGCAGATGCCTGGTACTGTCTAGGCTATTGGATTGTTTGAGGATAAGGTCGGCATCTTATGATAACGGCTCTTATGATTCCATGCCGTCCCCTTTCAACATGGGAAGAACTGCATCTGAAGTCAAACATACGAAGGATGAGGACACAACATACAAGTATGAACACAACGTAAATTACAAGTCTATACGTCTATACCCGCTTATCAAAATGCATCATCATCACATACCAGGGGCCGAAAACTCCGCGCCCTTGAGCCCAAACACCCTCTTCAAGCTCAACCACAGCTCAAACGCACCCAGCTTGAACTCGACCCTCAGGAAGCCAACCCACGCGGACGCCAACCGGAACGCGTTCGGCGGCCACAGCAACGACCCGCGCGCCCGCAGGTCCTCCAGCTGCTCCTCGAAGACGGTGCGCGTGCAGTACCGCGCGAGGATCATGAAGGAGCGGATGGGGCCCTGGCGGGTGCGCAGGTTCTCGTCGAGGCTGCGGGTGAGGTCGTTGGTCTTGAGGATGAGCAGGATGATGCGGGGCACCTGGCCGAGCAGCTGGACGAGGTCGGCGAGCAGGCCCTCCTGCAGCGCGTCGCCCATCTCCTTCTTCTCGTCGGCGGTGCGCGTCTGCAGCACGGAGCCCTCGCTGTTGAGCACGCTCCAGTCGCGGCCGGTGATGGCGGAGGCGAAGAGCGGGAACTGCTCGTCGTTGATGTTGGCGACCTCTTTGGCGTACTTGCGCATGCGCTTCATGTCGCCGTCGATGACGGCGAGCCACATCTTGGCGTAGGAGCGCTGCAGGTCGCGGGGGATGTCGCGGTAGAGGCCGTGGTCGTAGAGGATGATGTCGAAATTGTGGCCGCCGCGGAGGCCGCGCCGGGACTCGTTCTTGCGGATGGCGAGGTTGCCGCCGTGGGGGTCGCAGTGCAGAGGCGCGTTGTGGCCGAAGATCATTTCGTTGAAGATGCGGGCGAGGCAGGCGGAGACCTCGTCGCGGTCGATGCCGTTGGCGTCGAGGTACTCGAGGTCGTCCAGGCGGTGGCCGGATACCCGCTGCATGACGAGGATACGCTCCTTTGACCAGAGAACTTCGGGGATGACGAGGGGGTGCTCGGGGAGTTTGGCAAAGTGGTCTCTAGTGCGGTTGGCGTTGTGCTCCTCTTCTCTGAAATCCAATTCCTTCGGCAGGGAGACGTCCATCTCGGAGGAGAGCCATTCGAGGTCGTATTCGGGGAAGAAGCGCTTGAGGGTCGAGAAGGTGAATCGTGTCAGGGCGAGGTCGAGGGGAGCCCACTGGCCGACGCCAGGGTGCTGCACTTTGACGGCCACCTGCACGCCGTCCTCCTTGACAGTTGCCGTGTGTACCTGAGCCAGAGATGCCGCGCCGATGGGCTCGTTCGAGAATTCCGAGAAGTAGTCCCATAGCTCCTTGCCAGTATCCTTCCGGAACATTTCCTCGATCGACTCGAACGAAGACACGGGGCACTTGTCTTGCAGCGGAATGAAGGTGTTTGTCCATTCAGGCGGGAGTAGGTAGTTCATGGCACTCTATCTCGGTGTTAGCGGTGGTATCGCAACGCTTTGCATGTGAAGGAGGCCGTACCAGGTGCTGGCCTAGCTTGATGAAGATACCGCCATTCTTCTCCAGAACCTTGAGTGTCCTATCGGCGCATCGCTGGTGGCAATCCTTGAGGATTTTCGACTGTAACTCGGGGTCTTCGATCTTTTCTTGCTGATTCAGAGTCGTTCGGTAACTGCGCTTCCATCAGTACGCTGCGTGGCGGAACATCGTCGAGAGCAGACCTACTCGTTGATGCAAACCGCCAATGCAGAAGCAACCCTCCCGGCACGCTCTGCTCCCTCATAACCGTATTTGATGTCGTCCCCGAACGCAAGCACACTCGCTCCCGCTGCACCGCCTCCCGAAGCAAGAAGCAGCACTCTGCTGCCCCTCTGGCCTCCCTTCGGAGGCGCCCTGCCAGCCGAGGCCCTTGACGATGTCGACGAGAACCCGCGGGTGTTGCCTCTGGCGAACGACTGCTTGCTAGGCTGCGCCGACGGGCCAGCGCGACAGCCGGAGCACGTCCATGGTTGTCGAGTGGTGAGCCGGCGCAACGGGGACGAGAAAACGGAGAAGGCTTTCATCTGGACGCTGGCCCGCTGCCGCCAATGGTGTGACAATCGCAAGTGCAGTACTCGGCGACTGTCATTCTACGTTGGTCGTGTGTGTACTGTTATTTTTTGTTTTTCTCCTGGTGGCCAATTGTCGGTGTCGAGGTCGTGTGTTCGCTTTCTCAACAGTCGCTACAGATTGTGGAGCAGCCAAGGGGGATTGAGTTGTTCAACAGAGGGTCCCAGAACTAGTCGGAAATCACGTCGTCAGTCGACCTCGCAGCGACTTTTTTTTTTCCTTCGCTGAATTTCCCTCTCTCACTGTTTGCCATTGCGCCTCCGGCCCACGGCGGTCGTTGGGGTAGGGTGGCGCCTGTATCTTTCCCCCATGCGGCGCCGTTTTTTCATTCGCTCCGCTTGGTAGACCCCTGCCTCGGGGTCCGTTCGGGAACCGCCGGGAGACAGAGAAGGCCTGGCCAGGCGCGCCAGGACCGCAGGCGAACTGCATGAGGTCACACTGCCCGATTGGGGGAACGTTCTTCGTTAAGTGGACTTCACGTGTCAAACACTCAAGCCACACGCATCGTGCGCCACGACGACAAGGTACTATGTATCTGACCGCGTCCGAGTCGCGTCCGGATATCAATTAAGCAATTACAACAACCAACGCGCGAGCTCTCACCCACCTTGCCGTGCCACTTGCGGACTACTACACGACACACCGGACTTTTATACAACACCACCACTTTGTCTCATCTGCCCAGCACCTCCGATCTACGACTTGCTCTCGACCAGCTCCCATTCATGCAACCAGACAAAACGCCAGAAAGGAAAACCACCACTAGCACCATGTTTTCCGTCGCGGGGCCCGTAGTATTCAGCGAGCGGACGCCATGGGACTTTAGACCCGCCGTCCCGTCGCCTCTGTCCTCATCACCCATTCGCGCGTCCTCGCCACTCTCTCCGATCAGCGACAACACCGTCCGCCAGACCCAGTCGTCGCCCATCCCCGCGCCAAAGTTCAAGTACGCATCGCGACAGACGAGGCCGAACCCGGTGCTCCGGAGACGCGAGGACGTGCAGGAGAACCGCCGCAAAGCTTTCCTCCAGAATGTCAGGCAGCGCCAGGATGACAAGACGTACCAGAGGCGGGACATGGAGGGAACAGTGAGTATTTCGCGATGGCTATCGAATTGGATTTGCGGGGCTGACATGCGCGACAGCTTCTAAAGTCAGACTGGGACCGCGACATGCGGCAACGGTACTACTTCAAGCAGCTTGAGGGAGACGCGATGTACTCCGAAGCGGACATTGAGGACGCGGCGACTCTGTCCCAGAACCAGAAGCAGCAGGTACCCGATGACGTCGATGACATGATGGTCGACGCGATCGCACAGGAAGAGCAAGATGAGCTCGACGCGTTGCTCTCGTCTTACAGCCAGTCTTCAGACACTCAGCAACCAGCCAAGTCAGACCCTTACAACCTATCAGACGACGAAGACTACGACGAGCTGTTCATGAGCCTGGTGTCACAAGAAAGCGCAGTACCGGATGCATCATCCCAGGAAATGGACATGTCCTGAAAAGCTGGTGTCAAAGTTTGGCCGAATTATCAGCAGGCCGGTTTGCATTGTGGAGTTTGGGTTTAGGCAGATAATTGCTTGGGGAAAATGGTTGCTTTTGGCGTTGGGCCAACTGCCCGGATGGCGTTGGCATTTTACTGGCTCTTGTACGGTTACAGAGTCACGATTATCATGAACGAGTCTGGTGAAAATAAAAGGTATATCCTGGATTTCCGCAGCGAGCTTCCTATTATTGCGGATTACAACTCTCGTCTGCGTTGAATGCTTCCTGTGCTGATGGCATATCTCCAACCAAGTCCGAAGGTGGCGATCCGGCGGCTTGCATCTACTTTGTGTCAGCGGCGTGGGCTCCAACTTGGGCCCTTTGAGATCGCTTACCTTCTGCATCCGGTCGACGATGTATTCTCTGTCCGCCGCGTTTCCATCTGCGTATGTCTTCTCCTCAAACTTGGCGACAATCTCCTTTACCAAAGCCTGCTGCTCCTCATAACGCTTCAGGTCTTCTGCGGGGGTCTTCTCGCGGTTCTTCTCCAGCCACTCAGGGAACTTGTCGTTCAGCTCCTTCATAGGCTCGTACAAGATCTCTTTGTTGGTAAGCTGCTCCATCATGCCCATGAGCATCTTGGAGAACTCTTCTTCGCTGCCCGCGCCATCCATGTTGCCGTCGCCAAGCTGCTTCATCATTTCCGCAAGGAAGTCCTCGGTAGACGATTCTGCGGCAGCAGCTGTGGCCTGGTCACCGGATGCCTGCATGCGCTCCATAGTCTTCCTGATCGTCTCCTGGAAAGAGCCGTCCGCGATGGGATCTGCGGCGGCGGCGGCGGCGGCTGCTGCTGCTGCTGGTTTACTCGCGGAGGATGTTGATGGTTTGGGTTGCTGCGCCGCCGACGCCGATGCCGTCGCTGATGCTGGTGGTTGAGGAGCAGAGTCTACCTCTTGTGCGGCTGCGTTAATCTGCTTAAACATGTCGTCGAATTGTGCTTGCATTTCCGGCTAGTGATGTTAGTCGGCGCGGTCAAGAAATGCTCGTCGATTGCCATACGTTTTTCTCCAGCTCCCCGATCAGGTCTGCCATGCCAGCTTGGAGCTGCTTGGCAAAGTCGTCAGAGGAGAGCATGTCTTCCAGGGTCTTGTCATCCGCCTCGCTTGCGACAGCAGCAGGTCTTCCAGGACCAGCGGCAGTAGGCGCAATTTTCTGTTCGGGCTTCTTGGGTTCAACGTTCACCGCCGCGAAGTCGTCGAGCATGTCTGGCCAAGTCAGTACATCATCTACCCATCGTAATATTCGCGGCCTCGTAGCGCACCATCTAGGTCGTCCAGGTCGTCCTCATCGGGATCCGGGACATCCTCCATAACGTCGACCGGCTTCTTCTCCTCGACCGGAGGCGCAGTGGTCTTCACCTCCTCGGGCTTGTTGGCCGTCCCGGCCGAATCACCGTCCTTTTCCATCGTTGCAATGCGCCTTGGCAAGTTTGGAAGGGTAATATGAGATGTGCGACGAAAGGCAAACGCAAGTATGTTCGAGTCCTCGGATGCTCAAATAAACAGGCCCGCCTTGCCGGGAACACAGATGCGGTCGGGACAAAGAGTAGTACGGAGCGCACGCAGGTTGCAGCGAAGACGAAAGCCCGGATCTGAGGTTGCTGCAGGCAACACAACCAACCGCACAAAGGCTGGAGCAGGACAGGCTTGACTGTCGCACGGGGGCTGGGATGATGGCTTTGTACGTGCAGAAAGGCGGACTGTCAGATGAAAGCCGAGGAATCGGGCCTGAAGCTCCTTGTCTTGCATCTGGGCAGTTCCATTTGCCCCACGTCAGATTCCCAGCACCCCGCGCTACCCTCCTACCGACCGCCGACCGCCGTGGCCCAAGGTGCACTGCTCAGGCGGGGTCCTTCCTATTCGTCCAGTAATCTTCCGCTTCGCGCCCCCTGCCGCCCCTCTCCAGGTGTCCCGAGCTTCTGCGGAAGGCACGTCCATTTGCTGAAGGTGCCGTAAGGTCGCAGTTTCCCGCTGGCAGCAACGCGAGGTACGTACCTGCGAGCGACCCCGAAAAAATTCCACCGCCCTCCAGGTTGGCGCATTCGCTGAGGCGTGTGAAGCGAGGCGGCCTTGCCTTACGGTTAATCGTGGACGCCTTCTTGCCCAGCAGACTCAGCTTCAGTCATTCCAACAAGCCCCGAAGCCCACCTCAAGCGCAGCCTTGTCGCCTACAAAACGTCCAAGATCCAGCGGTTTCCCCATCGTCGGAAATCCCGCTTGACGTTCTCGGCTATTGTCACCAAACGCACGCGATCCAAGCGTCGTAACGAACGCAGCCGAGCCGACACACATCCTCGCGGCTAAGCAAGACAACTGCTACGAGCAACGACGCGAAAACACCATCACGATGTCTTTGTGCCAGAACAGACTTCAGGAGGAGCGGTACGGATCTTTATCCGACACATGGCACGCTCTCCGCTAACGTGTCTCAGCAAGCAGTGGCGGAAGGACCACCCCTTCGGCTTCTTTGCAAAGCCGCAGCGCAACGCTCAGGGTACTCTTGACCTGAAGGTGTGGGAGTGCGGCATCCCGGGCAAGGAGAAGACGATTTGGGAGGGCGGCTTGTTCAAGCTGACGATCACATTCCCCGAGGGTATGTACCTGATGCCAAGCGCACCTGTCATTCGTCGGAACAGCCTTCACTAACCTCAATGCTCGTGAATAGAGTATCCCACGAAGCCTCCCAAGTGTAAGTCGTTCATCTCTCTGTGTTTTGAGATGACAAGCTGACAAGCACGGCACAGGTAAATTCGTTCCCCCTCTGTTCCACCCGAATGTCTACCCCTCCGGCACCGTTTGCCTGTCGATTTTGAATGAAGAGGAGGCCTGGAAGCCCGCGATTACGGTCAAGCAGATTTTGCTTGGTATCCAGAACCTTCTGGACGATCCCAACCCTGAGTCGCCCGCTCAGGCGGAGGCTTACAGTCTCTTCAAGAAGGATAAGGCCGAATACGAAAAGAGAATCAAGCGCGTTGTGCGGGAAAACCCTGCGCCCTAGATGGGGTTCAGGATACGACGATTAAAGCTACGAGATCTCAATGTCGTGCCCGAGAGCACGACTTCGGCGTTTGGGAAATACCAGTCGGTTTGCTTCTCTGCTTTTGGGCGGGTCGATGACGCAGCGATGGATTTGAGGATTCCAAAGATGAGGAGAGTCGATACAGGAATAGCCTAGACATTTGGTCTGCCATAGAGCCCACGAAGAAAACGATTCATCGCGCAAGGTCGAGCTCACGTGCTTTTGCCATTCGTGGATTTGAGCCAGCATGGAGAAACACACGGTGACTCTTTCGAAGGTGGATATCTCTCCATCGGTCCGTGGTGGGAGGTGCATCATATTACCGCAGCCAACCGACATGGTGGATATGGCTAAGCGGAACTAACAAACCCGGACTCCTAGGAGGGCAAGGGAGGTCGAGATTCGGAGGAGAATGCCTCCACCACAGCTTGCTTGGCAAGGTACCTGGAACCCTGACGGCGGTGACGAGTAAGGCTGTTAGAGTCAATAGGAGCGGGCGCATTACCAAACAGTCGATACACACTTCCGACACGCTCGCGTTGGGTTGCTGCGAATACACTGTTGTCAGGCCGCGGATGTTCTCTTTCTGCATTGGCGCTCTAGCCAACTTGCGGCGAGCCCCCGTCCGCTGTCGCTCGCGTGGCAGCATGCTGGAAAGTGTTGCCGTCGCCGTGGCACCATCCGACAGATGTGGTTCCCTATGTCAAGTCGCAGAGCCACACCGACCCGCGGTTCCTGTTGGTCGGTCGAGTGTCTTATCAGTCGGACAGGTTAGGTAATGCGCAGACTGGCGGGCTGTGAGTGGCCAGCGCTGCAATTGTCGCAGAAGCCGAGATCGGCCCAGGGTACAGCTGCGTTACACTAGCGCAGCGTCTGAGATTAGCGTATCGTGGCTATTGCTCTGTCGATACTTCAGCCAGCGCGCTCTCGCGCTCTGCGGCCGGAGGCTTAACGAAGTGCCTCATCTTATCGGCTTGCGTACCGTCAGTCAGGGCTCAACGGGGCGCTGGCCGGTGGCCGCAGGCTGGGAAGTTAAAGTGTCAAGGTGCTAGGGGCAAGGGATGTCATTGTATCAGAAGAGGCCTGGGGCCGTTGCGGGAAACCGAGCAATTAGAGCAGAAAATAAAAAATAAAAAAAAAACTGGGTGAAGCGCAAGAAGAGTCATAATTGTTCTTCCCGCTCCCACACTCCTCCGCCCGGCCGCCTCCCACCTCTCTGCTCCGTATTTATTTCTCCCGGGACGCTTCTCTTGCCTCGAGCTTGCAATCTCTCTCCCGACAACCAAAACCTCATACTCAATCGCAGCTCGAGACCGCAAACATGTGTGGAATCTTCGCCTGTCATCGGTACGTCCAGCCAAGCACGCAGCATGCGCGATCGTCCCTACATCGGCGCGATGGAGGGGCAATTGAGCTCCCCTCCAAAAAATTCCCAGGACCCCGCCATGATTTTCTAAAGGGCGCGACTGACTGATTTGCGCGCAGTCACCCCGACGTCCAAAAATTCAAGCCGACGGCCCTGAAGCTGGCCAAGGCGTGAGTAGTTACCTTTCCAGACCCCCGGTGCCTCAATTGACTTTTTTCCCGTGCAGTATCCGTCACCGTGGCCCCGACTGGAGTGAGTTCTGAGTCACCACGCGATAGTCGTCTACGAAGCGCAATAAAAACTGACCAATAACCCCCAATGCAGGCGGTAACGTTATTGCCAACAAGACGAGTAGGTCAATCGCAATCGCAGCTGTTCGTAGCCACCCAATTGACCAATTCCCGCAGTCCTGTGCCATGAGCGTCTCAGCATTGTCGGCGTCGAGTCCGGCGCCCAGCCCCTTACCAACGACGATGAGAGCATCATCCTCGCCGTCAACGGAGAGATCTACAACCATCGTCTGATCCGTAAGGCCCTGAAGCACAAGTACCACTTCAAGACCGGCTCCGACTGTGAAGTCGTCATCCCCTTGGTGAGTCAACCATGCGCACACGCTTCAACAACCTCGCAGACAGCCTTGCCTAACAAACCATCATAGTACGAGGAGTACGATATCGACGCCCCTAAACACCTCGACGGCATGTTCTCGTGGGTTCTGTACGACAAGAAGAAGGACCGCACAGTTGCTGCCCGCGACCCTATCGGTATCACCACTCTGTACCAGGGCTGGTCCTCAAAAGAGCCCGATGCCGTTTACTTTGCTTCCGAGCTGAAGTGCCTGCACTCCGTCTGCGACAAGATCGAGGCCTTCCCCCCTGGTCACGTTTTCGACTCTGCCACCGGCAAGACCACAAGATATTTCGAGCCTTCCTGGTGGGACCCCGCCAAGGTTCCCGACACCCCCGTCGACCTCACGGCCATCCGCGAGTCCCTCGAGAAGTCAGTCAGAAAGAGACTGATGGCTGAGGTTCCTTACGGTGTGCTCCTCTCTGGTGGTCTGGACTCCAGCTTGGTCGCTTCTATCGCCCAAAGAGAGACTCTCCGCTTGAAGCAGGCGGCCCTCGACGCCAACGGCGGCACGCTGCCCACCGAGAACCCCGAGACTGGCGATGGTATGGTCGGTATCGACGACGACAACAAGCTGTCAACAGTCACCTACCTGCCCCAGCTCAACTCCTTCTCAATTGGTCTGCCTGGATCCCCCGACAACAAGGCTGCTCTCGAGGTGGCCAAGTTCCTCGGCACCAAGCACCACGTCATGACCTTCACCATCGAGGACGGTCTCAACGCCCTGTCCGATGTCATCTACCACCTCGAGACATACGACGTCACAACCATCCGCGCCTCTACCCCGATGTACCTCCTTTCCCGTAAGATCAAGGCCATGGGCATCAAGATGGTGCTCAGTGGTGAGGGCAGTGACGAGATCTTTGGCGGTTACCTCTACTTCCACGCCGCCCCCGACAGGAAGGCCTTCCACGAGGAGACCGTCCGCCGTGTCAAGAACCTGCACCTTGCCGACTGCCTGCGTGCCAACAAGTCGACATCCGCCTGGGGTCTTGAGGCTCGTGTGCCGTTCTTGGACAAGCAGGTGAGTAATAGTGAGATGTTCCCGACTAAAGACCATGTATGCTGACAGCTGTTTGCCCGCAGTTCCTCGAGACGTGCATGAACATCGACCCCGCGGACAAGATGATCACCAAGGAGAAGATTGAGAAGTACATCCTGCGCAAGGCGTTCGACACCTCGGACGACCCGTCGGCGCAGCCGTACCTGCCCGAGAACATCCTCTGGAGACAGAAGGAGCAGTTCTCGGACGGTGTCGGATACGGGTGGATCGACGCGCTCAAGGACAACGCCGAGATCCAGGTCACGGACGAGATGATGAAGAACCCCAAGCCCGAGTGGGGCGACGACATCCCCGACACTAAGGAGGCGTAAGTTCCCGGCAGAATGACCACAACCATGATGGTGAGAGAAGGACGAAAGCTGACCTTGGATGACTTTTGACAGCTACTGGTACCGTCTTATGTTCGACGAGCACTTCCCGCCGCATTGCGCTTCCACCGTCATGCGCTGGACCCCCACTTGGTCCAAGCAGACGGACCCCAGTGGCAGGTGAGTCGCGCACACACATATGAAATTCCCCATACAGAGGGGGGAGCCTTTTGCCAGTTTGCTGACCCGTCGCATAACAGAGCCATTTCCATTCACCAGCAAAAGTACAACGAGGCATAAAGGGGCATTTAAGGCAGTAGGGAGATACCTGTATCCTAGCAATTTTTGTCAATGCGGGCGGGTAAGGTAGAGGCGTCCAGGTCCAGGGCTGGGTTAGTATGTAGACCTCAACAAAGAAATTTAGAGTCACAAACGGTCCATGTTGTTGTTGATGCCATTCCGACGACCGCGGTGCTGTTGGTTTGCGGCTGCTCCAGTGCTGTCGTCGCCATTTCGATCTTGCCTAGCCAGGGGCGCTTAGGCAGGGGCCGCAAACTCCCTTGAGGGGTCTGCGCTGAAGGACCTTGCCCGTCACAGGTCGATTTTCTGGGGTCGTAATCGAGGCATCCTAGAAGGTTCCCCAACCCGATGTCCCGCGTCAGGAACCACTTTGGTCGGGCTGCCACGCTGCTTCGTGTGCAACAGTGATTGATCGATCATCCGGCATGAGACCCTCAATCAGGCGGGGATGATTGGCCTTGGGCGATCCGTACCTGAGTGACTCAGCAATTCCTTCCAGATTGCGGTGAGACCAGAGGAAACCCAAGAGCAGCAGGCAGGCGAGGTACGCGCAGCACAAGGAAATACGGATGTAAGTCATGGAGGGGGGGAAGAAGCGCTGTCAGCCTCTTCTGCCTGGGTGAGCATTCCGTTTGTTTTGGAAAGAGTAAGTGACCATATTGCCTTCACAGACAGATTCCAGCCAAAATATTAGCCTCTTCTCCTAGAAATAAAATAGTTCATAATTCCCCCTCCTTCCCAATTACCTCACACAAACATCGCAGCCAACCAAGCATCACAGCCGGTCGCATTAAACATCTTGACACCCCCGCCAGCAACATCCACTCCTCGCTGCTACGAACTCCCGCGGCTGGCCTTGCAATCCCAACAAACCAATAACACATCCCCCACGTGTCTCCTGATTGGGCATAGCGCCTCTCCATAACCACGAAGCTCCTCCGGACCGACTTGAGCCGGGAATCCCCGTCAACCAATTGATGCAACCAAAACATTTTCTCGAACAGCTCCGCCCCCCAGCAGCAGCACATCTCCTGAAAGGACACCTGCAACCCGCCTTTTCACTCGTCGCATCTTTGTCACCTTTTGCGCTTCCCATCGTCAACTCAATTTTTTCCCCCAAGAAAAGTCCTCTTCTCAGAAATCAGCCACCATGTCTGTTCCTAACTTCGGAGATATCGCCAAGTCGTCCAACGACGTATGCGCCCTTCCCTTTCTTTTTGCTCTCCCCCGTTGATCGGGTATTCGCGGGCGTCCGGCGGGTAAAAACACACAGAAAGCTTTCTGGACTCTGTGCTTGGCCGAGGTCGCTCGCGACAAAGAAACCACTCAGCTAACATTGGCCTCCCATAGCTCCTGAACAAGGACTTCTACCACCTCTCTGCCACCACCTTCGAGCTCAAGAGCAACACCCCCAACAACGTTGCCTTCAAGGTCACCGGCAAGACCTCCCACGAGAAGAGCACCAACGGAGCTGTAAGTCGCGCTTTTGCCCCCTCGCCAACGCATCCAATGGGCCCCGCTAACCAGACCTCCCACCATCAAGATCGAGGGCAAATACTCCGACAAGGCTACCGGTACAGCAACCACCCACCGTCGTTTAGAGCGCTTTAACGTGTCCTTCGGTCCAATATACGGGCCGTTACACGGCAGCCCAGTTTCTATCAGCGCGGGCTTTCAACCTGGTTTTGCAAATTTACTAATGTTCTACCGTCGCGCAGGCCTCACCCTTACCCAGACATGGAACACCGCCGCCGCCCTCGACACCAAGGTCGAGCTCGCTGACAGCCTCGCCAAGGGCCTGAAGGCTGAGGGTGTCTTCTCCTTCCTCCCCTCTCCCGCCGCCGAGAAGCCCGCCAACAAGGGTGCCAAGTTCAACCTTACCTTCAAGCAGTCCAACTTCCACTCCCGTGCCTTCTTCGACCTCCTCAAGGGCCCCAAGGCCAACATCGACGCTGTCGTCGGCCACGAGGGCTTCCTGGCTGGTGCCTCTGCCGGCTACGACGTCAACAAGGCCACCGTCACCGGCTACGCCGCTGCCGTCGGCTACCAGGCCCCCTCTTACTCCGCTGCCATCACTGCCAGCGACAACCTGAGCGTTTTCGCCGCTTCTTACTACCACAAGGTCAACAGCCAGGTTGAGGCTGGTGCCAAGGCTACCTGGAACTCCAAGGCCGGCAACAACGTCGGCCTCGAGGTTGCCTCCAAGTACCGCATCGACCCCGTCTCTTTCGCCAAGGTTCGTTGCCCCCCACCCCCGCGCTGATGTGGGTACCAGTCTCTGACAAAGCTCCGCGTACAGTTCAAGGTCAACAACAACGGTGTTGCCGCCCTTGCCTACAACGTCCTCCTCCGCGAGGGTGTTACCCTGGGTCTTGGTGCCTCTTTTGATACCCAGAAGCTCGACCAGGCTACCCACAAGCTCGGCGCCAGCTTCACCTTCGAGGGCTAAGCTCTGTACGCTATAAAACGTGTATTCTTGAGGAAAATTTTTGAGTCCAATTCTCGGCCGCATTTCTTATTCGGGAGGCTCCTGTCTAGTGTATATCAACTGGGGAGTAATCGAGTTTGATCGACCGGGGACCCAGCGTGTCTTCAATTATGCTTGTGAAAATGTTTCCAATTCGTGAGATTCATGTCTATGGGGGGACTCTTATGTGTCTAACACCTCCCCTCTTCCCCATCTATGCCTTCTTGTCCTTCTTCCGCGGCCCAACAAATATCATGTACGGGACAAGAAACGCAAAAAGCATCATCCCCGCCACGCTCAAGAAGGCACCGACGGATGTCTCCTGGTGTCCCACAGTCACCTCCTGCCCCATGATCCTATGCGCCCGCCTCGAATCCTGCCTCGCCTGCGTCTGCGTGTGTCCCCGGCTGTCAAAGTGCCGCACGTCCGCGCTGCGCTTATGCGCGTAGGGGTCCTGCCCGAAGCCCATGCCGGGCCTCTCGGGCTCGGTGCCCGTCGCGTCCGAGGCAGTGTTGCTCTCGTGCGCGGCGCGGCGCTTCGCCGAGTGCTCGCCCCAGCCGCCGGAGCGGTAGAAGCTCGGCGGCGGGCCGCGGAAGGTCGTGCGGCGGCGGGAGAGGCCCGAGGCCGGGCGCCCGCCGGCGGGGCCGGTGCTGCTGCTGTGGTAGGAGCCGCGGCGGGCGCCGTGGTGGTGATGGGAGGAGGGGAGGGAGCGATCGTAGGCGGAGCGCTTCGCGGGGGTGCCGAGGACGGAGTAGGCTTCTGCTATTGCGTGGAATTTGCGGGTTGCGGAGGGGTCGTTTGGGTTGTGGTCTGGGTGGTGGGTTTTGGAGAGGGCGTAGAAGGATCTGTGGTGTTGTTTGTTAGCTAGCTTTATAGGACGTTCGATTGCGATTGAAAGGGTGGCAGGTCCGAGGGCGAGGAGGACACGGGGAGCTTGAGAGCTAGGAAGCTGTGGTGGGATCGTGGCCGGGGGAGCTCTACTTTTTTATCTCGGCGGGCGAGGCATCGTGGGCGACTTTGAGTGTCTCGTAGTGGTTCACGGCGGCGGCGTCATTTCGCAAGCTGCGCGACGTCGTGAAGGCGCGGGCGGCGCACGCTCGGAGGTGTGGTTGTGCTCGGTGCTGGTGTTCAGGTGTGATCGCGCCGGCGGAGCGGAGGGGACGGGCCGCTGCGGGATTGAGCCGGCGGAGGAGCATGTCCTCATGCTATTTTTCGGGCTCCGGCCGTCTTGGTTTACGTGGGTTCGGAAATTGAGAAGACAGATTGTGTCATTTGAATGGGAATAGATCGCTAGGAAAAGACTGAGGGAGGGGAGTTGGGAGGTGAGGTGCGGAAGAGAAACGGATGCGTCAAGGGTCGCACGCGAGCTGATGGACCCTTGGATGGGCAAGCGTGGTGACGAAATGGATGGTCGGTTGGTCGGTCGGGATCGGAGGTTGGTTGGTTGGGTGGAGTTGTGCAAGGGAAGTTGTGCGGATGGTGGGGGATTTATGCAGGTGGGGGACTTTGTGCATGTTGACTGTGAGCATTTTGGGAAAGACTGAAGAAGACTTGCTTTGCTCAACTTTCGATTGGCACTCGTTATGTTGCTTTTACTGGACTTGGTTTGACAAGGCGCCTCAGTTTAAACACTTTGATTTCATTCTTAAAAAGACAGATCGAAGACGAGGCAATTGGTGAAAGGACCCATCCTGCTGTTTCTCACACCTATAGTACCTACTATGTAACAACATCAACTCTCTACTCTCTCATTCTAAGCTGAACCACAAAGTCTTCGTTATAAGCAATGCCACCCACAACGACAATCCTGCCCTCATTCTTCATATCAAAATCAAAGCGACGAACAGTCTAACAAGAAATTAGCACACAACCCCGTACCACACATCAAGAAACTTACCTCGGGCAACAGCTTGTACATCTCCATGTACGCAACATCCTTCCCCAGACAAACCCTCGGTCCAATCCCGAATGCAAAAATGCAAGCCTCCATCTCGCTAATCGCCTCTTTCGTGTTACCCCCAACCTCACCCTCCAACCACCTCTCCGGCCGGAACGCCTCCGGATCCGGCCCGTACAGCCGCGGATCCCGCTGCACGACCCACGCATTGGCCGTGATTTCCGCCCCGGCCGGCACCCATGTCCCGTCCACGATCTTGCCCCCGGCCGGCGCCACCCGGGCGAAGAGGTTCGTCGCGGACGGGTGCAGCCGGATCGCCTCCTTGATGCACGCCACGAAAAAGGGCAGATGCGTCCGCGTCTCTTCGTACTGAATCGTCGGGCTGAGGTGGCCCGCCTGTTCGGCAGCCGATATCTCGGCGCGGGCGCGGGCGAGGGCCAAAGGATGGGTGAGGAGGAAGCGAAGAGTGCTGCCCAGGGCTGTGCCTGTCGTGTCGGCGCCGGCCTGAATGAGCAGCGTGACATGGGCGCGCTTCTGCGAGGACGTGAGGGGCTTGCCGTCGATGCGGGCTTCAAGGGCTCTGTGGTTTCCTGGTGTTAGACAACAGACTTCACACCCCATCTCAGTCTCCTCTGCAGTAAGGGAACTCACAGCTGCATAAAATCAGGTTTCTCCTGCGTGAACGCCTCCTCCTCCATCCGCCGCTCCCTCTCCGAGACCTGCCTGTCGGCCTGCGCCATGAGGTAGCCCATGCCGACGTCGTCGCTCGTGCTCGGGAGGAAGAAGTGGCCCCACCAGACGCGGGTGACGCGGTCGCGCAGCCAGCGGAAGCGATTGACGAAGCCGAAGGAGACGAGGCCGCGGCGCCAGCTGGCGAGCATGTTGCGCTCGTCGCGGGAGTTCGTGACGAAGCCCCAGGGGTCGGTGAAGGAGACCATTGTCATGATGTCGGCGGCGAATTCGCTTTTTCTCGAGAATTAGCACGCGGAGGAAGTCAGATGGCTGAAACAAGGTGGTTGCTTACGCTACTTTATCGGAGAGGATTACGGGCTCGTTTTTGCGGGCAAAGTCGGACATGCGACTGATGAAGAGCTGGATGTGGGAGTCGAAGCGCGGTTCCCAGTTGTTTTTGAGGCCGCCGATGGACCACTGAAATTGAGGTTAGTGGATGGAGAACTGAAGTGACATTTGATGGAGAGGACAGCACCTGAGGCCCTCCAAGAGCTTTCCTAAGGGACTTGTGGACGTTTCCATCGAGGGTCGAGAACAAGTGCGGCGGGCCAAGGGAGCCTGTGCCGTAGAACATGGACTTATTGTTGCATTTTGGATCCCAGTAAATATCCTTAAGGGCGGCTGACTGAGGAAACAGAAGAAGGGTTGGTGCGACACGGATTGGCTTGTCCGCTTGTGGATGGTTAGTTGAGGTGGGCTTCAAGGGCGAAGTTTACACTAACTTCCGTATTGTTTTGACAGCCAAAGCATCCATTGCGGCTCATATTTCATGACGGAGATGAGAGCATGAATTAGAGAGAAGGATGCTGCATACCACGGTCCATGGTACTTGGAGAGCGGGTGGAAGTAGAGATTATAGACTACGCGAAGAATGAGAGCTGCGGAAATGGCGAGCAGGCCAATTTCGAGGATCGAGCCTGGGGATGGTATGGGAATGCTTGCAAGAGCCATCTTGGTTCTAGGCAGACTTGTGGCCTCGAGTTTCCGATCAAGGGCAACATCTCAAGCCAGAGGAAACAGTCCCTCTTCTATATACCTTTGCAAGGCTCGGCGGCGGCAACCGCGAATCTTTTGTGCTCTCCTGATCGTCCATCATGCGGGGTATCGCCAGACAACTCCCAATACCAAGAGAAGCCCCCGCGAGCACCCTTCCAATGATACATTCTCCAACAGAGACACGCAGTCAGCACAGCGTACCATCACCTTCGCCGTGTTGACATCTCATTGCTCGACATCGCGAGTGTGGGTGGAAGACCACCATCCCTCACGCTGTTTGTCATACACATCCACGGCCGCGGTACGGGAAGGGCGGCGAATCCGACTTCACCGATTACCCAGCACGACATGCACGGCATACTAAAAAGCGGGCGCGGATCTGCCCGCGATGGCTTTGCGGAATTGTTAGTGTTTCTCCCCTCCATTTCGCGGCTTTTACCCGGGCGCTGGGCAAACAATGTCTCTCCCGTATCAAGGCAGCCGGTGTCGATCTCATGCACGCCTCGGACCCGATTAGTGCTGACGCGCTGCAGATGCGTACAACTTTGTTTGCACGTACATGACGGAGGGCGGGTCACTTTTGTGACTTGCCTGTTTGGTCGTTGAGGGCATTTGTATCATGCGTTGCGGCGGATGTGAGCTTGGTCGGTTTCTCAGCATTGGAGATGGAGTTGAGGCATTCAGTATGGGTAGATTGGTTGCTCCTCCATTGAGGACTTTGATGTTAATCATCAAGGCTAATAAGCTGTTGGCGATGTGAAAGAAGTCTAACCGTTCGGGTGAGATCTTAGTAAGCCCGTAGCTCGGAAACATTTCGTCGACTTTTGATGTCATCCTGTTGAGTCTCCAAGACCGAGCCATCGCACTATTGAGTATACCTAGTCTCGAATATTAAGAACAACTTTCTCTTCCATCCTTTCACGGATTCTCATCAGATGTCAGAAGCGGAACTTTCACCATAGGCTTCGAAGAAAAACGTTTTGACAAGCACAGAGAAGATCGTCAACATGGACTCAATCCCTTCCAAAATTCTCCAAATCTCCCCTACAATCTCCTACAAGTACTACATCTCGAAACCATCTAAACTATCAATTCCAATAGTCCTCTTTCTCCATGGCTTTCCATCCAGTGCTGCCGACTTCGCCCCTCAACTCACCCACCTCATCTCCCTCGGCTACGGCATCCTCGCACCTGATCTCTTAGGTTATGGCGGGACATCCAAGCCTCATGGACCGCAAGAATACGTCTGGCGCACGATGAGCGCACATATTGTCGCCATCCTTGACGCCGAGTCCCTAGAGGCTGTAGTCGCCGTCGGTCATGACCTCGGATCATGGTTTCTCAGCAGACTTTACCACTTTTACCCGTCCCGGTTTCTGGGTCTGGTTTTCCTGGACGTCGGATATGCTGCGCCAGGCCAAAAGTTTGACGTCGAAATGATCAACCGAATTACGAAAGAGATGACAGGAGAGGAACGCTTTCGGTACTGGGATCTGTTCACGGACGAAGAAGGGGTGGAGTTGATGGATCGGAATGTTGAGAGCGTCGTGTCGCTGATGCATGCCTCCCCTGAAGTCATGGCTGCGAATCTTGGACCCAAAGATAAGGCGAGAGAGTGGGTTGCTGCCGGGCGTATTGCGCAGAGTCACTTCTTCGGTGACGAAACAAGCAGCTACTTTGAGGATAAAGTGGCCGTGTTCAGAGAGGGTGGCTGGACTGGGCCGACAAATTGGTACAAGGCTCTGAGAGAGAATATGTCATGGGAGGACGAAAAGAATATGAAGAAGGAGCTTGAAGTTTCAGTGTTGGTCGTGGGATGTGGGAGGGATGAGATGACGGTGGGTGGGTTGCAGGACCAAATGACAAGGCCGTGGGCAAAGGGCGGATACAGGTTCGAGGTGCTTGATACAGGGCACTGGGTTATGCTTGAGGACGAGAAAGGGACGAATAGGCTATTGGTCGATTTTCTCCAAAGTCTGTGATGCGGTCCAGTGTTGTGTCAGCAGAATACATCTAAATTGGCTGATACTGCCACCGCTAAAAACATCCACCGTCGATGAGGTCGGTCAGTATTCTTGGATGATCGGCACAGGTTTCAGCGACCCTAATAACCAGACGTCCTACTATGCGGCGTACAACCGAACTTATGTGGTAGTGACTGTCTTTGGCCACGGCGCCGACGTTAGCAACGTCGCCGGCCCTGTGGCAGAATTGGCCTGCTTGCGTCCTACCTGGAGTGCTTTGCCGACACCTACGATGACGAGAAAGGCGGCTAGCACCTCAGATGCCAGCAAATCACTTCTGCTGTCCCTGTCGTGACCACCAGTTCTCAGTCAACCTCTTCGCCTTCGGCGGTGGCAACTCCTACTTCTGTACTCCGATGCCCACGCGATCAGGTGTTCAAGGGTGTCCGGCATCAGACCTGAACAAGGACAGTTACGATTTTGAGTACTTGATAAACTTGTGCGCCTTTACGTGTAGCCACGGATGCTGTCCTGATGGTGCCTGTCAAGTCTGCTGAGAAGGGGGAGTGATGGAGGTGTTTGAAGACGGTTAGGCCGCTAGACAGTGCTGTAGATCAGAATAGCGTCATGGTGTTTTATTGAGAATATTGTGTCTAGTTCGTCTTGACTCACAGACATTGTTGTAGAATCTCACATTCGTAGAGAAGGCGACTTTGATAAGCGCAATTAGTCCATATGATATGAACATGAAAGATCGTTGGCACAATGCAGGGGTTGATGGAAAGTGATCAGGGTTGTTTGCGCTACAGTCCGTTGCGTTGACAGCGTCCGCCCCCTAATTTTCGGCCTGAAAAAGGTAAAAAAAAGGGGCTTTTTACTAGAAAACCACTAAATTGCTCTAAACTTTATATATTAATAACTCTATATATATATAATACGTACAGCTAAAAGTTTGATTAATTAGTCTACTACTTAAAGGCTATTTAATAATATAATTTTTATTACTAACTATGTATTATATATATATATATATATAATTATTAGTATATAAAGTTAAAAGTAATTTTAAAGAGTTTTTAAAGTAGATATTATAAATACTACGTATAAAGGGTTTTTTTTTTTTTTTTTTAATATTACGTTCAATATCTATTAACTTAAAAACCCTTTAAATTACTTTAAACTTTATATTTTAATAACTCTATACGTACATAATACGTATAAATAAATAAAAAATTATCATAATTACTTAATTTAAAGCTATTAATTAATATATTTTTTATTATCGCGTATTATATACGTATAGAGTTATTAAGGTATAAAGTCTAGGGGGGTTTAGGGGAGTTTTAGGCTAGCAGAAAATTTTCCTTCCAGGTCAAAGTCGGGGGCGGACGCTGTCAACGCAACGGACTGTAGCAAGACACACCTGCCCGAATTTCTAGGGTGACCCGCAGATACAAACAGTCACTTACTCACACTCTCTCCAGTAGCTCCAACACATGGGCGGATACTAAAAAGGACTCGTCCATCCGCCGAGTCCTTGACTGGACCATGTTTCTCCTCTTCATGTTCAAGACATGCTATTAGTGCCTCCGACTGAGATAACTGATTTCATTTGAGGGGATGGACGATGCCTTCATAATACGGCCGCCGCCGGGCGACGACCATCGAGACGCACTCCGTGGTCACCGGCTGCCGACTAATCTTAGCCACTGGGTCTCGGCGTGCTTGATACACGGTATTCGGCACAATGAAGCTTTTGCAACGTCGGAAGTCCAGAGGCTCTGCTCAGAATCGCAAAATAAAGCCTTTTCTCGCGCCCGCAACGCTCGGCTTATTATGAGCAACACCATCCCTAACATGGCATCTGACGACGACAAGCCGTATTGCATTTGGTATCCAGACGTGGCTAGTGAAGAAACGTACCGTCAATTGGCAAAGCGTTACCCCGACATGCGGTATGTGGTCGGCCGGGCCTGTGCCGTAGCTGGCTATGCCGGCCTCTACGACGAACTCCGTCTCCTGCCTGAAATCTCTATCGCGCAAGAGGCCAGAGACAATATCTCTAACGAAGGATCTAAAGCCATATTCGACAGCATAATGCGCCAGCCTGTCTGCTACGCGATTCTCGACGACTACTCCCGGTATTCCCACCCCGACAGGCCAACGTCGCCCGCGTTTATGAATGGCGACACAGCTGTGAGGTCCTCGTTGGACGTCCGACTCGGGCTAGACAAGTACCAGGACTGGGGTAAGCACTACTTCAACATCGCCGAAGACTACAACATCGACGAAACCTCATCGGAAAAGACCAACAATGAGGAACTCGCCCCTGAGCACATTGCGTTGTTCTACACGCCTCTCCTCTCGCACCTGCCGACCACCAACAAGGATGCTTTGATCCTCATGGCGGCTTATGAGGGGAGTATTGAACGATATGTCCGTCTCCGCCGGCCGAAAATGCTCCACGACGAACACGCGGCCGTCCTTCGCGGCATCTACCACAACACCACCTTTGCCAAATGGTGGTATCTTCAGGAAATCGATCCAAGTAACCGCTCCATCAGGACCGCTGCCCTGGCGCGCTTCATCATGGTCAACGACCTGTCACACGTCACACACTCCAGCCCCAGCAAACACCAAGTGCCCGCGATGATCTGGTGGCCCCTGATTCCAGAGGAAGAGACGCTGAAGGAGCTCGTCCGCCGCCGGCCTGATATGAAGTTGCAAGTGGCCATGGCATGCATCGCGGGCGACTACAGGGCTCTCTGGGAGGATCTCGCGCCGCCCCCGAGCTCGGAGCTCTGGGACCAGGCGCGGCAGGCACAGACTCGCAGCTGGCCAAACAGCCCCAACAGAAACTACTACGTCGACTACCTGGAGCAACATGCCAAGGAACTGAGGTGCGATATTGTGAACTTGGGAACAAACTCCGAATGTGAGGACGCGGCTGTCCGCAATAAGGAGCCGACGACGACGTGGCTCGACTCCGGG